ATATATATATATATACATACACATATAATTGGATTCCTTGAACTAACATTGGTGTGGACATTAAAACGTAATGGTAAACGTTTGGAATGGAGGTTAGTTGCAACTGTTGGTCCGACGTTGGTAAGAGGTTGTAATAAATATGAGGATGTGATTATAGACGTTGTCCCAACGTCACGGTACGTTGTCCCAACGTCACGGTACTAAACTGCCTTTTAAAAAATGGTTCGTGTGGGAATCGAACTCACAACCACCAGGTTTTGCTATTCTTTTTCCACCATCAACTAAACTGCCTTAAAAAAATTGGTTTGTGTGAGAATAGAACACACAACCGCCAGGCTTGCTATTCATTATCAACTAAACTGCATTATAAAAAAAAAAAAAAAAAAAAAAAAAAATTGGTTCGTGTGGGAATTGAACACACAACCACCAGGTTTCCCGTAACATGATTAGTCTATTTTTTTCCTAATTTGCATAATGAATTTTTCAAATATTTTTGTTTATTTAAAAAAAAGTGCGTAAGTTATGGAGACGGTAACAATCAAAAATCGATTATAAATTTAATTCTACATTTTTAGACAAAAAATAAACCCTCTTGGCCCACAGCCCATTTTTGACACCATGACCATGCGTAATACTAACCTGTAGTGTATATATACGAAGAATTTTTTCTATTAGGATAAGAGTTGACTAACTGGTACTTGGTGTGGTTTATCGCATTTATGGTTTAGGGGCCTGTTTAGTCATGCTGGATCAGGAGTAGTAAACTCGGCGATCGTGGGTTCGATTCCCACACGGGGCAAATTTTTTTTTTTTTTTTTAATCTATTTTTATTTTTTTATTTTGTTCTTTTGAAGGTCGTGTGTTCGATTCCCACATGAGCCAGTTTTTTTTTAAATTTTTTTTTTAAGGCAGTTTAGTTGATGGTGGATAATGAATAGCAAACGTGGAGATTGTGTGTTCGTTTAGTTGACGGTGTTGTACAATCTTTTCAGAGATAAGCTGGAAGAAAGTTTTAGACAGTGCCCATCAATATAAGGATTTTAATACTGAGGAATGGAAGTTAGCGAAGTCCTTGGCTTGCGTAACCGTTTTTCTTCGATCGTCGCTTCCAACCATCTATGCGCGTCTAGCCTAAAGAGGCCTACATAGCAGGTCGAGATAGGGTCGTAGCGGGCGCGAGAGAAAGCGGCCGCGCTCAAAATGTATGGAACGCCAGTAGCGCTATACCGATTGACTGGGATACGGTACGGTATATAGCGTTCATATCGCAATGTAATAAAATTTGATGAACGTGAAAAACAGGTCTACACTTAGTGATACTGTACATTGTCATTATTATTATTAATTTACTAAAGAACTAAAGAAGCGATTTGAAAATTACATCCATCTCTGTAAGAAATGCATAGGCCTAGGCCTACTATAAATCATAATATTTGATATAATAAATAAACAAACTAACTAAATATTGTCTCGATTTATATAGGCTATATATAAATTATGAAAAAAATGTACAATAATTTGATAAAATTGATTAAAACAGTTTAAACTAAATATATATTGATGTATATAATGTATATATATATATATACATTATATACATCAATATATATTTATATATATAAATAAAACAATAGCAGATGAACTTAAAGACTTAATATTTTAATCGCTTTATTAAGCTCTATCTGAGATATCGAGCACTCTACGTCGTAGATGATCTAGAACTTTTAATATATTAGTTTATATGTTCAATTGGATTCCTTGAACTAAAGCATTAGTGTGGGCGCAGTCATTTTAAACTAAATGTTATTTTTGACGGCAAATTTGAATATTTATTTTGCATTTTCACACTAAAGATGTATGCTATGTTGTTTTATATACGTTCTATTGGATTCCTTGAACTAAAGAGCATAGGTATTAACACCAAGATTATGGTAATATGTACACTAAAAGCCTTCAAACTGCCAAATTTGTGTTTTTTGGGGGCCATTTTGAATATTTTATTTTATTTTGCATTTTAAAGATAAAAATGTATGGTATTGTATTTTAATAATGTTTTATTAAATTCCTTGAACTAAAGAACATAGGTATTGACACCAAGATCATGGTAATGTGGGCTCTTAGAGCCTTTAAACTGCCAAAATTGTGTTTTTTGGCGGCCATTTTGAATTTTCCATTTTTTTTGGAGGGAAGGGGTGGAGTGACATCGTGGTTCCCGCAATTTTTGAAATCGGCATACTAAAAAGCCCCCTATTACAAAGTTTCATGCTTCTTTCCAGAAGTGCACGCCCAAGTCACATATTCGCCCCAATAACAGGGCTTTTCCTAGTTTTATCACTTGGGTTCAGAAAGTATTACAATGTGTCTGCGAGCGCCTACTATATAGATTAACATTTTAGAAAGCCCGGAGAGAATTTTTATACTATTTTGAAAGTAATGTGAACAGACTGAATCTCTAAGGCATTTTATTTTAATGTTTCAGTTCACTTCAATTTCAAATTTCTTAATAAACTTTTGGCCCGACGTAACTGCTTATAAAACTGAGAGTGCCATTTCCGGCAATCTAGAGGTGTCATAATCATAAAATTTCTTTCCTCAGCCCCAACCATGGTGGGGCTGAGGTGATCTACTTTTCCAACGTGCAAGTCCCTCCCTGTACCCCCTCTAATTTAATAAATTAAACGGTATTATTTTCATTCACAATAATTTATCGCAATATTACTTACACAAAAGTGAAAATCAAAAAGAGGAGAAAAGCAAAAACATCTTGATTGACTTTAAAAGTACTGTACATGCAAAAAAACTAAATTAATGAATGTTTTAAGTTTATCTTATTTGTTTTTCATAGTTCGAATTTTGAATAGTTACAAGCTAATCAGTAGATAATAAATCATTATTTTTATGAATGTTAGTTTGCACGAAATATATAAGCGGTCATAATTATGACTAAAAAGGATAATTTTAAAAACTTTTTATGATGAGTATTTCAGTGGCAGATTCAAGGGGCCCAGCCGGCCCACCATCACTATTTTTTTTTCGAAATTTAAAAGTGGAGAAAAATTTTAATTATATTCAAATTCAGTCTAAGAGTGCCATTTCCGACCAATCTGGAGGTGCCATCATCATAAATTTTCAGCCCCAACCATGGTGGGGCTGAGGTGGTAGTCCAGCTACACTCTCCATCTGTAAAAGTCCCGCTCTGGGCCCAGATCTATTTCAAATTACTGGATCCGCTATTGGATATTTTAAAAATTTCGTATGGAAATAAATGTTAATTGCATTGCTTAAAATCAATTAACAGGCTATATGCGCCAGAGCTTCCGGGGCTTCGCCCCCTGGTCCCCAACCATTGCTTGTGCCTACGGCCAAAGGCTTTATTTTTCATCTCGTCCCACCACTTTCAGCCACGGATCGACGCCCTTGCACTGGAAGCCGTTGTTTTGATTCTGAGAGATTTGAAATGCGCGAGTGACTACACCAGTTAGATTGGGAAAGGGGGTCCAAGCGGCAGGGGAACCCCGCCGCTCCGACGATGATTTTTAAGCTGTTTTAAAACGATTTCAGGGAGTGTTTGTTGATAATACAGGTACATAAGCATAAATATTATGAATAAAGCCAATATGAGTTTTCAATGTAGGCCTATGTTCTATTTGAGCATCCGAACAAACATTTCATTACTGATCAATTTTTAGTGACTCGTTCGTAGGACCTTCAAGGAAATACTGTACTCTCTCGTGACTCAATTTACTGCATCGCCGTTTTTATAGTTTTAATACAACCAATTTCTTCTAATTTTAAATACATTTTCCTTGATAAGATAGTATAATACATACTCCACGTATCGAAATGCACGCCATCGTGTCGGGATTCAATATTTCGACATTAATTATGTCATCATCAGGAATGATTATTGGCTAGTATATGGGGACGTACTGAGTATTTGGTACGTTAACACATCAAGTAGGGTAAATAATCACTCCTATATTTCCTCAGGCAAACTCACATCTTAATAGCATTTGTAGTAACTTCCATCTGGTTCGATAGTCTAGAGGTCGTGTGTTCGATTCCCACACGAACCGTTTAAAAAAATTTTTCTATTGGCTAGTAATTGGGAAAATCTAATTTGAATTTTTTTATAACATATTTTTTAACGTTTTTTTTTTAATAAATCGGACTTAAAACAATATTAATTTATAATAATTATTTTGAATATTTAATAAGAACATTTCATTTCCCTAGGCGAACTCACATCTTAATAGCATTTGTTGTGGTTTTCATCTCGCTAGATAACCAGCAGGTCGTGGTTTCGATTCCACCCGAATGGTTTTTTTTTTTCTTTTTTTAATTTTAATAATGGCTAGTATTTGGGGACGTACTGAGAATTCGGTACGGCAACACGTCAGGTAGGGCAAATAATCACTCCTGATATTTCCTGACGTCGCAAACTCACATCTTAATTTGTAATGGTTTTCATCTGGCTAGATGACCTGGAGGTCGTGGGTTCGATTCCCACCCCCAACCATTCTAAAAAAAAATTTTATTAGTATGGCTAACTAACATCTTAATAACATTTGTAGTAATTTCTATCTGGCTAGATAATCTGGAGGTTATGTGTTCAATTCCCACACAAACCATTTTTTCCCCAAATTGTTCTACTGGTTAATTATAGGGGATATCTAATTTGAATATTTTTATAATCTATTTTTTAACATGTTTAAAAATAAATCCGACTTAAAACAATATTCATTCATAATAATTATTTTGCATATTTAATAAGAACATAAAATATTCATTTAATAACATTTATTTTGAATATTCAAGTTTTTCTTTACTTTTGACACCATCACCATGCGTAATAATTTCCGTCTGGCTAGATAACCTGGAGGTCGTGTGTTTGATTCCCATTTTCAATTCCTGATAATGACAAAATTAATGTCGAAATATTGATTCACGACACGAT